CCCTCACCTTGATTTTAGTTTCTTCACATTTGCCAGCTGGTAGCAGAAGGATAAGTACAAATCCAAGCCTCAAGTGTTGTAAGGTCCTGAATGCTGGTTTTTAACTTCCCTGTGCATTCAGGGGAAGATGCTGGAAGACAGAGCAGTGGAAGGAGGAGGAAGATATAATTATTCACATTTTGTGATAGAGAAGCATATGGTACAATGGTGCTTCCTCTTGTGTAATAATTATGCCCAGCCATGTGTTGTGTTTGATGCTGTAACGCAGTCTGGATTTTCTCTCTGCTGTGTATTAGTTCCAGTATTTTATTTTGGGAGGGGCTGTCCTGTTGACATTATCACCAGACTTCTCCTGGAGCACGGTTTGGTTTGTGGTGATTTGTGTGTGTTCTCTGCTCTCCTCTGCTTCCTTCCCATGTTGCATGATTTATAAAGCTCAGCATATCTGTTATGTGCTCAAGTCCCGTTATCTGTGCTGAGAAGGAGCAACCCCCTCCTGCTGGCACAGCAAGGCTGGGAAACCCCCGTGATGGGGCTGCAGAGTGGGCGCTCCTTGTGATCGGGTCTCTGCGTGGGCGAGAGGTGCCTTCCAGCATCCTTCGCCGCTGCCAACAGGCTGTGCATGTGATGGCTGCTGGAAAGGAGCAAGCAGGAGCCTTGCAGCTCTTGTGTCCAAGTGGCCTTCTCACCCTCTCAAACCTCCCTGCCCCTTGCACTTTTGGAAGGTAACCAGATCTGCGTGTCAAATCTCAGGAAGGAAATTCAAGCCCAAGGCATGCCCAGAGTCCGAGGGATCCCTGGGGTGACATTCCAAGGCACGTGTGTCTGCTGCAGTTAGGGGAGCCATGCTTTGGTGCCTGTCTCCATTCTCTCCGAGAAGTGCAAGTTAGGCAGTCAGCTATGCTGGAGTCCCGCAGCAGCATCAGGTGGGACCCTGATCTGTTAAGTAATCTGAAGTTAAATACATGGCTACTGCTTGAATATGAATCACGGGAAAGGTGAAGCATGCCCTGGTCGGAGGTGCAACATGGGGCATGGCAAACGATCCAGGTCCCTTTGCAATATCATCGAACTCCAAACTGGTTTTTGGTTGGTTTTTTTTTTTTTGTTTTTTTTTTTTACAAGATCACTGTTTTCAACCTTGACTTGTTTTAGACAGGACTGTGGGAATGGTGTGGAAAGCCAGCTAGATGAAATTGTTTAGGATGGGAAAACTGGGGAATAGTGAACAAGAAAGCTTGGCTGAATATGCCAGTGTGTTGCATGGAGGATGTTGAGTAACCAAAGTGTATTTAAAGCCACCAGAATAATTTGGAGAGCTGGAAATCCTATCTTTTAGGTTATGAGTTTGGGAGACCTGATTCTTGTGACCTGTTCTTTATGCACTGGTACATGAAGGAGGCTCTGGTGCTTCTCTTGAAGTTGCTGGTTACATTTAAGATGCTGAGCATTGAGCTGATTTTTGAAATGGAAGTAAATTAACCACTGCTACATCTTTCCGAAGGGGAGTGTAACCCACATATGTTAGCAAGCTGGTGGGGGGGCAATCCCAGTGATTGCTTCAGGTTTAAGGATGCTCTTCATTTCCAATATCCTTTTGTGAAAAGGGTGAGATGGAGAATAGCCACCTGTGCCCTTGCAGTCATGTGTGGTGGAAGGAACATTAGCAAAGCAAGGGAAGTTCAGGTTAGCTGTAAATTGAGATCCCAGAGGCTGTTGCAGCAATGAGCTGTTCATCTCTTGCGGTGGAATTTTTCTGAAATGGGAGAGTTTGACCCTAGCAAGTGTCTTCAGTAATTCTTCGGTATAGTGGGTGGTATTTTGGTTTGTGCAGACTGCAGCCTGGGCTTCAAGCAGCTCATAGGAAAAGAGGGAGATGTAAAGCGGAGAGGGAGATGTAAAGCAGAGGTATTTCCAGGCGGTATTAGCTGGCCCGGCTGTAACGTCTGAAACAAGAGCAGGATGTCGTTTAAGCAGCAAACAATTTCTATTTAAGTGTGCCTATTCAGGAACTGCATTTTACATAAGTCACGGCGGTACGGAGAGGAAACGGGGCTCTCTGTACATCTGACCTCACCGCGATGTTGAGCTCGGCAAAGGCAGCAGCCAGCACGGTTCTGGCAGATGCCGCGTTGCGCCCAGGTTGCTGGGAGGAATAGGTGTGGCTGCGCGCGGTGGACCTTGGAGCCTGCCGAGCAAAGTCCCATCTCTCTCTTGAGTGCGGGAATGGTAAGGCAGCTCTGCGGATCTGTGTTTGAGTGATGGGGAGGAAACAGAAATGCGCCAACTTTTCTTGAGGGTGGGGGGAAGGGGAGGAATGTGTTAGAGAGCCTCTTACATGTGCAAATTGAGACCAGCTCTCTTGCAAAACCTTCCTTTCTTATGGATTCAAATGCTTCCTTGATTCTCGCCAGGTCAGATGGTTCACCTGCATGGCTGTGCACCCATGTGGGTTTTTTCCTTCCAAATTACTGAAAGTTAGACGTCTGAGAAGGTTACAGGATAAAGATATATCTGTAAAAAAAAAAAAAAAAAAAAAAAGAAAGTATTTAAGTCCAGTTGGTTGCTTTCAACAGCATTAATCGTAACAGAGCTAAAACCCCCAATCTCTCTCTCTCTCTCTCTCTCTCTCTTTATTTTTAAACTGTGACTTGTGTGGTGCATTGCGAAGTTTTGTAAATCATCCCCAAGAGGCTTGCTGTGGTAAATTCATCACTGGTGTAAGACCAGTGTCAATGCTGAGTTATACCTGAGGCAGTTTTTAGAGCCTTATTTTCATCAGCCCCTGAGTATTTTTAGACTGAGGCTGCTCAGGCAAATGAGGAAGTCTGGCAGAAGTTTCTTCCGGGCTTCTCATACACTCTGCTCTCCATGTGGTGGTGTGGACACAAGAGTAAGTGCTTTGTCTGGATGGGGAACAAAACATTTCTCAATCTTCAAATAAAATTCACTAGTGGCATCTGCTATGCTTGAGGATTTTGGAAGACGAGGGATCCTGTGAGCGTGAACAGAGTGCCACAAGAAAACGGTGTGCATGTCTTTTGTTTGTCTTTCTCAGCAGCCATTCAGCTGTCTGATTAGGAAATGCCGGATACCTTCCAGCAAGATAGCTGGTGGAAGTCCTTTTCCTTTTTACAAGTCTGCCACTAACGTTTTTACATTCTTAATCAACGACGTGTTGAATTTTATCAGCAGATTGGCAGTTTTACTTAAAATATGTGGACAATAACCTTCGTTTGCTGGCTGATAGAGAGTCTGAACTGTACCAAAGCTAGGAGTGTTTGTGCTGTGATGTGCTGACTGATTTCAGCAGTTTCTGTTGTTTTCCAAGGAGGAAAAAATGAAGAAAATGCAGGGGAAATTCTTTACCTTAGCAAAAAGTCCTGCTTGCCAAGAACTGATCACTTAAACTGTGACCTGGCAGGTTATAAGCCCAGTTTATGGTTTATTTATTTTGTTTGATGGAAGCTGCGTGGAAAACTGTAGGTCTTGCATTAAAAGCTGCATGGTAGGTTCTGAGTTTGGCTGACACTTGTTGTCTGCAGAGGCACTTCTTCTTTTGGAAGGTGTCATTGTTTCTGTGATGCACTGAAGAGACAACAGCTGCTAGGGATGGACTGTTCTTCCACTTATGCCTCCACCATGAAGGAATTAGGTTCTGACACCCAGCCTCAACCTGTCCTTCTGTAAAATGGGAGGTGCGATGCCACTCCCTTCCCTTGAGAAGGGAAACACCGGTGGGTTCCCACTTCCCAGTGACAGTGGCCAAGATGGGATGTGGTCCAGGACCCCACGTGTGCTAGGCAAAGGAGGTGCAGACTGGGGCTGGATGCTGTTGGCTCAGTGGTTCTCTCTTTGCTCAAGCACAGTCGGTTTGGCATGGGGGGCTGGCATCAGGGCTGGAAGCCTACAACCCTCTCAGTGTCAGTGGGATGCGATCCCCAGATGCCCGAGAAAGAAGAAAAGTGCACAGGAATGAGGTGCTGTGGCACGGTAAAGGGCTGCACAGTGTCCATATGGATGGGCAGGGACCAAGCTAAGGCTGCTCTCAGCTTGCGTCTCCATGCACAAGTGCATGCAGGGTGTCTTTTGCCATCTGTCTCCTGACTCTTCTCTTTCACTCTCTCCAGGCACGCTCTGAAAATGAACCCGAATAACGCTGAGTTGGAGAGGGTCAGCAACAGCTCTGTCGAGAGCCTCAGCCCACCTTTCAGGAGCGTCCATGTCAGCTTCACGGCTAGCTCCACCGACAGCCTCAACTCAGACACACAGACCGGCAGTGATGGCAGTAAGTGGCCATTGGGTGTGGTAGAGGTAGCATCAGACCTGAGGAAGGAGTTACCTCCATCCTGAGGCCCACTGCTGGGGCAGCATCTTCAGAGCAAGGATCATGAGGGTCCAATCACCTAGTTCCCCCAGCAACCCTTTATCTTTCCATTTCTCCTATCCTTCCGCCTCTTCATGCACTTAAGATGAATGTGGCAGAGTCAGGCCAGCATCATGGGCTATTTTCTCTTTCATTCGGCAAGTGCCAAAATCATCCATCCTGTAGCTCTCCTTGTTTGGATAAAACCTCCATCTGAAAGCAATTGTCCTTACCTTGCTTGTGCTTCAGATGTTGCATGAGGTCACAAGTAGCCCTGTCATAGAAAGTCCTCCATAGATTTGAGGAGTACCAGAAGAAGTCTTGTGCTAGAGGTGATCTCTCCCTGTCATTGTGTTCCAAATTATTTCTTGAAGGGAAAAAAATCTGCCTGCACTCGTTTAACTGAGATTAAAAAATACTTACTATGAAGTCACTTTTTTCATCAGTGCGTAACTTAGACATGCACTAACGTGTTCAGCAGCTCAGAAAGTATTTCCTTCATGTAGTGGAAGTTCTGTCTTTCCAAGAGCAACAATGTGCAGCAATAAAATTAAGAGCCAGAGCTCTGGAAACTCCTTTTTTCCACCACTAACTTGGAGCCTGAGAGTGAGACCATGCCAGGAAATTGTAGAGGGGGAAGAAAAACTCACATTTGTTGGATCTTTACTTGCTGGGCACAGAAGAAATTCGCTGTCAAAAATGGTAGGGGACAAGAGGATTTCTCTGCCTCCATGAACAGAAGCAACTATTTCAACTCATCTTGAGAGAGATGAGTTCTTAAATTAATAACCCAAATGCAATTTTTCTTGCTGTTGCAAGCAAGAAGCTATGCAGTCAATCACTGAGTGAGGTGAGCTAAAATTCATTGGCTATGCTGTCAGATGTTAAACTCTGGGTGGGGGGAGCTTTTAAGCCCTTGATGTGCAAAAGGACTGTAAGCTGAAGGTGCAGAGCACTGTTAGGAAAGTTGTGAAAGGACTTCATTTGTTACCCTGTGCTTGAGGCAGAGCCCAAGCACGTGAAAACAAGGTAGGAACAGTCTGGCATTTGTGAGCTAGGTGTGTGGACCACTTGCCAAAGCTTCCAGTGCTGACGTTTGTTCTGTAAGACTCTGTCAAGTAACTCCTGCCTCTCAAAATGGGGATTCAGCTACATGTCCTGGCAGAGATGCCTCTGTTGAGTTGCTCTTGTTCTGCATCCTGAAGAATTTCTCTTGGCTGTATCCTCTGTCAAAGCCCCTTGGACCGGAAGTGGCAAGAGATGACATGCTGAATGATCATCCCTGCCCGTGGCATCTGACAGGGTTTTAACACAGAGGATCTTTCCTGTGGACCAGGCAGGGTGTGATGCAGATATCTGGGTTTTCATTAAAGCTTGGGGCATGCATCTCTGTTGAGCCATGGGCTCCACAGTGAACTGTGCAGCTACAGAGCAGCTGAAACTGGAGAGCAGTCAATTGCTCAGCTACCAGGTGTACAATGCAGGCAGACACCTGGGGCAAGGGCCAAACAGGAGTCAGCTGAGCACCCAGCAGCCTGGGAAAAAGAGACGTGTGCTGATTTGTGACATTTCCTACAGAGCTGTTTCTGAGCATGTTGTCAGAAATGGAGTGCCAAAACTGCCTTGCATGGGAGGTTCATCTTCTGCAGAAGCCAAAATCAGTGCTGCTCATTCCTGGGGTGTCTCTCAACACTGTTACTTGGGATGGGGTGTATTGCAGCAGGAGCATACAGACGGCCTCGGCAGTGGAGGGAACAAAAGAAAACTGATGTCATGCTACCAAACTCTGGTGAGGAGAGACAGGGACAGATAGTGCCCGGATCCACTCTGGTAGCTGAGAACTAGGGGACCTGCCCTCACCTTGTGTGGTCTCAGGTGGCGAGCAGCTAACAGGGATTGCTGTTCTGGCACAGCTGGTACAGCTTTGAGCTGGCATGTGACACCCCAGGACAGGCTGGGAGCTCAGGATCTGAGCCCCTGCACTTGGAGGTTGTGCGTGAGAGCTGGTGAGTCACTAGGGTTGTGACAGAGACAAGCGCCTGCTGCGGGCTGACATGAAACT